ATAAATTCCATGAGATGGTATCAAAATCCCTTAATATAATATAAGAAAATTATTTTTGTATATAGTATATAACAGAACCACCAATTTATTTTTTATTTTATTAGATTAGTATATAATATTTATTTTAATATGAATTGCATCCAAAGTTCATAAGGAAAATTTCTATTTAATTATATAATATATATATATTTTTTTATTAGAGCCGCAACAACTAAGGTTATTAGCATAGTTATATATTATAAATTTGTTTACGTATTGAATTCATTAAAAACACTCATTCCAAATGACGGCATTTGCATTGGTTTTGGATCAACTGGCCAATTTATTGGAGTAATTACATGTACATCAAGATCAAAAGCAAAAGGCGTTGTAACACCCTAAAAAAAAAAAAACATATTAGTCAAATTAAGCCATATATACTAAAAGTAGTAGTACTGTAAGATAAATTACAACTTTACTTACTAAAATACATTTGTTAACATAAACATATTCTTTATAGGTATTCATGATAATTTTAGATAGTACAAACTTATCCTTCATCATACCCTTTAATTTTGATAGGAATAACAAACCACCATTGCCATATGCATTCTGTATGAAATTAAATTATATTTTAGTTGAAAATTATATTTTCAAGTTATCTTATATACAATTTAACTTACATCAAGTTTGGAGATCATTTTATTCTCATTGTCCATGTTGACAGACTTGAAATGAAGTAATCTATTGGAAAGATGAATTTGATAAGAACGTTCAAATGTGGCTTTATTACTATGACATTTTATCATGTGTATAACTTTGTCAATATCAGCTTCGGGATCATTTTTAAGGTACTAAAATAATTCATACAATAAGCATTAATAAATAAATGATTTAACAGAATGTTTTAATAACATTATTATAAATACCAATTATAAAATTAAAGAAATAAATATACATATATATATATATATATATATGTTACAGGAAAAGTGGAAAATTCGGACAATGTCTACAATGACTGGGCATAATATATTATGTTTAATCATCAAATGATAAATTAGCTTAAATTATGCATTTAAAATATCGTGAAGTACATATTTTATTCGAACTTCWAACTTATTAATTTGTCGTATTTTAATTTGGTCAAATACACATTATTCACATTATTTTCATTTAACACAATATTCAATTTCGCATTAAATTTTTCCATTTTAAATAAAATGTACAAAATAAATAAATGTTTGTTTAAGCACTATCGGGATATATAGTGCATTCACAAAATGTCATTAGTGTTTAACCAAAGGATAGACGTAGCATATAACTATTTATACTTTATAAGAAAAAAATGTGTATATAAAAATTATTTTATAAAACATAATATTAATAACTTGCAATAAAAACATAATATATTATGCAGTAATAAAAAGTATAGTAGGTAGTAAAAGATTTTTTTAATTATTTGTAATAAATTAGTATAGATAAAAATAATAATAATATAAAAATAAATAAATTATGATATATATGATAATAATTGATTATATATAGTGTTTAATCAGAGAATAGACGTATCATTTAATGATTATTAATTATGTAATTGTTAGAATAAATGTACTTCACAATATTTTAAATGTATAATCTAAGCTAATTTATCATTTGATGATTACACATAATGTATTATGCAGATTATTTTGTATAAATACTTAACAATTTACATTGCCCAATATACCTCAGACATTGTATACATTGTCCAAATTTTCCACTTTGCCCGTAACACATTATATATAACATATATATAACACATTTTAAATAAATCAATTTTTAATTAGGCACCGGTCCAATGTGCGACCTACAACTGATAATTGACCTATCCTTATCTTGTTATCTTAAATTATTATAAATGAAGTAGAACTAGAAAGTATAATCTATAGTGATGAATGGAGCGCTTATTTGTCATTAAATAATGAAGGGTACATACACAGTACCAGTGCCGTATCTAGACAYTGGCAAGATGGGCGGTGGCCAAGGGCGCAGTTTAAAACGATCGCACAAGGAGTGCAATTTTTATACCATTTAAATACTAAAAATTCATTATAAATTTATAACATTGGTTACCAAGGGCGCACATAAAGTTAGTTACGCTTATGGCACTGCACAATACTGTGAATCATTAAAAATGGTTTATTGATTCTGAGACAAATGTCAATAATCAAACCATAGAATGTTAGTGGAAAATAGTGAAAAAACGATATGAAATAAGAGTAAACGGCGCATCTYCATTATTACCTAGACAACTTAATTATTAAAAAAGAKTGGTGGAGATCCTTTGACCCAAACAAGCAAACTATATTTGACAAATTTTTATCAGACATGAAAGATGCTTTTATGACATAAATTATGATGAATTCTTACCAGACAAGAAGGATAATTAATTATGAATTAATTAATAACTATAATAACTATTAATATGGATAAATTTAAAGGATTAAATAATAAATAAATTAATAACTATAATAATTATAAAAAAATGCAGTGTTGGTCAATACCTATGTCCTATATGTAGATCACTTATTGGACTGAAAATGTATGTATAGGTCGCACATTGGACCAGTGCCTTTAATTAATATTAAAATGAGCTATATTTGAAAATTTTGCAAAATATAAGTAATCTTTATACATAATATTATAAACTGTATGTTTTTAGTTGAAAAATTCTTAATTTATTTGTTTTTTAATATGTCCAACTAACTGTAGTGATCAGGRTTTTCTTTATATTTACTTCCAAATGTTACTTTTATAAGCTAAAATCATGGGGCTATACAAGAAAGTTAAACAATGGGTTTTAAACCACATTAGAATATAATATGTCAACATTTGAATCTATACATATACATCATAATCTTCAGACTTTTCTACCTCAATCACAAACACTATTTGGCAGTGGCATAAACAGATTTTACAATGGGAAGGGAGGGGGTCTTTAAAATTAATTACAATTTTATTTTCTGAAATATTTGAGGTATTTGAAAATGGCTGTACACCTTTAAATTCTCAACATTCTTTGATCATAACTTTGATGTAGGTTTTTGAAAGCAAATTGGATCTAGTTTATATTTTTTGAGGTCAAAACTCAAAATTGTAAATTCTTAGTACTTTTTAAAATAATTTGTAAAAATAAAGATGAATAAATGCTTATTTGTTAAATTGTTTGATAACTTTGTTTAGATAGTCTTTGCTTGGACTGTATTTAATTAATTTTAGTTTTTTTTCTAAATATTTCAATAAAAATAATTTGTATGGTTAAAAAGCTTAAAAATATAGTACAAGGTTCCTCCAAATTTTTTATTATATCTATTTAAAAAGATCAATGATACATAGGCATGATTATTTTTTTTCAAGCATTTAAAGTTAAAATGTTGATAAACAAAATTCATTTTTAATAGCTATAAAATATTAATTGTTTCAACCTAAGCTAATGTTTGAAAATTTATTTCAAGGTCTTTGACACAAATAGTTCATACTTTCACCAAAAAATTGCTAATCATTTCAAAATTAGTATACATTTTTTTACAAAGACATGCCTACAGAAGAAACTTGATATATATTTTTAGAAAATGTAATAATAATATGGGTAATGACAGGAATTTCAGCTTTTTAGCCCTCCCCCCTGCTATTTGCGTCAAAGATTATATCAATTAGATTGTTTATGCATTTAGACCTATAAGATGGTGAAAAGTAAACATTAAAATTATATTCCAATTTTGATTTTTTATAGAAATTTATATTTGTTGACATCTCTTTTATGTCTTGATGGATTGTCTCATTGGCCCTTTTAAGTACATATTCATTTTTATTTGTAACCAAAGCACCTAAACTTTTTAAAGTTTTGAAAATCTATCTCCTTTAAAACATAGTATAGAAGCGAAATCACATTTTTTTTWAAATAAAAATTGGACTATTAGAAGTATGTTATTTTTTTTGCCAAGTTATTAGTGTTATTCATTGTCATATACTTGTAAGTAAAAAAATATTTTGGAGCGGGTCTAGGTTAACATGTGCATGCGAGTACAAAGGCTRTAGAATTGCCTAAATATTGCCACTTAAACAATATCCACTATTTATAACTGCCTTAAATTTTAAATATCAACTTGTATTAGTGAAAAAATTGTTGATTTAATTGTTCACTTTTACATTGCAATAATGATATTAGTATAAATATATTGTCATTTTGATGATAATTATAATTAAATTAAATTTGGCAACAACATATTTTTATGATAAAACATAGCATTTGTGCTATTTATTATACATAACACTCAAATTAAATTCAGCGTCATGTATTCTAATATTTTGAGTTACCTTAAATGCTGAACATTAAAAATAGTTAAATAATTAAATACATATTATGATTTTATTGTATTTACTCTTTAAAACTATCTTATAGAATTAAAATAAATAAATAAGAATAAATAGGTAAATCAATTTTATATCTTTAGATGTGCAATTGCTGAGTGATGCAAAGTAAGTTTAATAACTACTAATTTATTGACATTATACTCCCAACATTTAAGTCAAGTAAGTTAGTCAAAAATAAAGAAGATACATAATTTATAGTTTTTATTTTATAGTAGATAAATTATAGACTGAAAACTAGTGAAATGCATGGGCTTAATATTTTTAAATTAAATGTATAATTCAAGTATATTATATATAAATGCAAACAAGGAATAAAATTATGTACAGTAAGACACAGTTTGTACAGTATACAAAGTTGAGTAAAGTACAATAAAAGTGTATGATTAATTAGATTTTTGTAATTATAATCAGTAGCAGTTTTCAATAGAGAGAGGCAAAAGTTTTGATCATCCCAAATAAGTAACTAAGACCAGTAGCAAGCACATTTTTTCTTACATTTTCAAGAAATTACCATTCCCATCTTACATATTTTACATATCATTTAACTTGAATCATTAAAATCAAACTCATTTTATTGAATGACAATGTTATTTATAAACATAAATTAGCAGATATTTTATAAAAACAATTAAGTGCCAAACGGTTGTTGTTTATAAAAATAATTTAACTTTTTCACTGCTCTAGAAGTATTTAAGGTTCCTGAATTTTTTATGAGGACTTGATAGCCCCATGTGTTTTCTCCATCTTACAAGAGCGTAACATACCAAATTTTACACTCGGTAGATATCTTTAGCTCCGTCAGCTTAAAAACTAGAGTACATTGAYTTATACAATTTAAATGTAAGAATACTATTAAGACGACATCATGGGATTTTTATTATATTTTAATTTTGAAGTGAGTTAAAAGTATTTTAAGAGGACACTACACAACCATTTGTTGTCTTTGTCWTACAATTGCATAATATAGAAAATTAAGCTCAGCAGATTACGTTTAGTTCCGTTATTTTACAAATTAGAGTGAATCGACCTAATATGGAACTTGATGTTAAGAACATAATCTGTGTTTCTATGTGGGAATTTTATGATACTTCAATTTTGTAGCAAGTTATGCGTATATAAAAATGTATGAATTAAAAATGCTCATAACCCACTTAGAAACTAATTTATCGTAAAAAAACTCACATACAAACACAGATAATGTTCTTACATCAAGTTTCATAATACSTTAATTTACTCTTATTTTTTAAAGAAGCTACATTTGTTATGTTTAATAAATTAGTGTTGTTTACAAATATTTAAATACTGTAAGGCCAATTTCACATGGACGCGTTTTTAGTTTACATTGATTAAGTTCATACACGTCATACTGGCAAGGGAAACGCGTCATCGTTGGAGTGGCACGTATGCATTTAACTAATGTAAATTAAAAACAAGCGCTTACAATATGTCGCGTATGATACACGTCCATGTGAAACGGGCCTAATTATAAGCCGAGAAAGGTGGTTAATCAGAAAACGGATAATTGAGGTTTTCATGAACTAATGTTTAGTATACTAGGGACATCTAAATTTGTTACCTAATTAGTCTGTACAATTTCACTTACTGTATGTTTTCCTTTCCTTAATTTTTCATCAATGAAAGTTGAAAAATATTTAGGTATTAAAGGATTCAATTTTATGAAAAAATCAAATTCTTCATCAATGATTTTATCAAATAATGTGTCATTGTTAAATAAATTCACCTTTAAATGATCAAATTTTCCTTTTAAATCCAATAAATTCTGAAAATAATATATAATAATTAATTTAAATATAATAAATTGATAATAGTATTTACAACACATGCGGATATAGCATCCTCTTAAACAAAATTTAATTTAATTAACTATTGTGTTATTATTTGTAAAACGATATTACCTGAACACAAGCCTTAACTTCATGAAAGTTCTTAATTACAACTTTTAATCCTAATTCATGAAAATATGGACGCATACAATGAAACATCACATTTACACCATCCACAGAACTTAAAAATGTATACAACCATTTCAAATCATCATCTTGTTTATTCTTCAACATATATACAACGCCACAACTTTCCATCTGAAAAATATAACAGATGAATAGTGATATAAAAATTTAGAATTTGAATTTTGTGTGCATAATTGGTTTGAATAGCTATAATATACAATTAAAATAACATAAAATTAACCTCTAAAACTGTCATCATGTTTTTGAAGATTATCTCGTTTAGAATAATATTAACACGTTCAATACTACTTTGTACATCAGAATTTAATTTAATTTTTTCCATTTCTTCAAGTATTATTGCTTCAGCTTTTTGAAAATAATTACACGCACAGTATTTAAATAAGAAGTCCTCGCTTACCGACTGTAAGTAAATCATAAAATGTTAGCTTGATAAAAATAATATGATTGATATTATTTAAATTCTTACTTGAAAATATTTAGTACATTCATTCAAATATAATGGTGTTACATTGTTTGTYTTATTATTGTCGTTTTTTTGCATAATACTTATTTTTGAAACAGCATCAGTCATTGAAAAATGCGATATCTGAAATAATATTTCATTAATAAATTACTAGCCAGGTAAAAAAAATTGACCCGTTTAGTGTGTTTTTAAGTTATTTTGAAAAGATAAAATATTTAACTTATTACTCCAGCCAAACGAGCAAAAATAACCTAACCTCCTTAACAACAATAGCCTATAAAAATAAATACAAGTTACAGTTTGTGTTATTAGCCACTATCAACATCCTATACTGTAAGATCTGATTATAACGATTTTTACACAACTTTAAAAATCATAATATTGTATCCAAACTTTGCATTATCTGGACAATAAAAACATACTGCACGTAAGATATAAAACTAACCAAGTTGAGAACTAAATACATGGCTGGGAATCGTTTAATCTGAAATATTGGTATATATATATATATATATATATATATCATTGCAATAAAGAATAAAATAATGATAAAGAAACCTTTGACTTTGATATGTAAGATATATAGGAATATAGTGTATTTATAGACATTTTTGTTGATTAAAAATAAAAAATGTTAATAATATAATATATTAGAATTATATTTCTTCAAAACAAACTAAACAAACTATGTTCCTGTAAAATAATCATAGCTGCCCAGGATAATTTATGCATTAATCAGTATAGTTTATAATTGTACCTGCCTACTTATTAGTTATCTAGAAAAGCAATAAAAATAATGATCAAATACTATTAAATAGTGATATTGATAACATAATGTTTATGCTAGAAAAAGAAGGTAAAAAATGGTGATAATTTCGCTAAATACCAATTAAAGTTATTGTTAATGATCAAATACTATTAAGTAATACTAGTATAGTTTACCCGAATATACTTACCTATGCAATCAATGATAGTATATAATATGCAAAATTTAGAATCTATTATAATTTTTAATACTTGTTTTTGGTTATTAAAAGTAAAATAGTTAGACCACTCATCAAAAATATAAGTAAATAAAATAAATAGTTTAGTGTACAAAGACGTTTATAAATTGGTCAAACAACACAATCAGTAATTATATCAATTAATATAAGTGATAAAAATTGTGATTAAATATTAGAATAATAGAAAAATTTTAATTTAAAAAATAATGACAATAGTCTAGAACTTCCATGTSTTTTTCAGATCCATTAATGAACTAAATGTTAATATAATTAGGAATATTATGTGTTATTATAACTAAATMTTTAGGATTGTCTGTTGAAAAGTAATCAATGTAAAACACAGTAAACAAAATAAACAATTTTCAATGTAACAATGATTAAAATAAGCCWATATATTTTGGTATAAAAATTAGGTACATGAATTTAACTGTATAGGACAAGCTTTTAATTCAAACTAYAAAGATAATGTTTATAAATACTGCAATTGAACATTTAAATTACATGTTCACACATCGTTGGATTAACATAATGGATTGTATTCAAAATGTGAATGGAAAGCTTTGATACCATATTTTTAAAAAAGCTGTCTGTTTTAGAGAAGGTTAGTGGGATGTTTTGAGGGGCTACCCTCCCCTACCCAAGCGCATGACTATTTCTAAAATACGTATTAATTATGATAAATTACAAGKCAAGTAGTATAACAATAATTATGATACCTACCTAATATAGACAAAAT